TGGCGCCCCAGGTTCACTAGCCAGGTATCATCGTCTGGCGAACAGACCTGGGAGGAAATCGTGGAGGGTTTGAGGGAGGTCGATCAAGGCTGGACTACCCTCAACACCCTCCAGCGAGCCGTATACGCAGAATACGACGCGTATATGGCCGCGGGGCATCGCCCCAATGACTTAGAACACTGGAGTGAGGTGGTGTCCCGCCAGCGCCAGTTCGCACTCGCGCTGAAGGAGGTCCAACGCCGTCACTGCCAGGCCCTCGAGGGCCTGGTGAGTGACACACCCGTAGGCCTCTCCCAGCCTCCAATCATCGGAGCCAAATCAGCGGCTCCGGAGGTCCGGTCGGAGGCCATGGCGCACCAGGGCTCGCGAACGTGCGGGGTAAACCTGGTGGTCAATATGGACGGCAGCCATGGGGGCCAAGCAACAGGGCCTATCCACATACATCTTGTGATAGGGTCCGCGGGTGAGGACCCCACGGTCGAAAAGCCGTTGTGGTCCGCCCCGAACCGGCGGGACGGGTTGCCACTGACCCCCAAAGAGCGAGGCCTCCCACGGGGCATCCTCTCCCGCGCTCAGTGGGAAGGGTACAACATGTGCCATTACCCCGGGGTGACCCGCACAGACCGTTGTCCTCGTATGCGGCAACACGTCTACCTGGTCCAGGAGAGGCTGGGATGGGAGGCACGCGGGCGTCTCCCGTTGGACGATGAAGGCCGGGAGGAACCGGCGAGACCAGCCGGTTGAATGTTCCGTGCCCCCGTGGGCAGGGCTAAACACACACTCACTCCAAATAAAAATTGCTCGAAATATCACATGGACTATGACCCTTTATTATCCTTTCTCCTCTCCATCTCAGAAAGGACAGCGCTAATATTGTTGTCGTCGAGGACCCCATAGGTCCAGACTAGAAGGGGGCTGTGACGGTAAACGTCAAATTAGCGCTAATAACCTAACCTAGTGGCTGCCTGCGGGGGCAGCACTTACCGGTAGACGAAAAATGTAATGAGGGAATTCGGCACGCGACAAGGCGGAACGCACGCGATTGAAAAAGAACCAGTGCAGGCCTAACTACCTATACGAGGAGCGGCAAGTGAAGGATCAGCCATCGACACGTTTAGCCGAAAGCGCGTAATAAGTTGCCGATACACGAACCGAATTGGAGCTGCGACAGCGGAGCCTACGCCTGCCATAAAAGCGTGTGTGAGAGTGCGTGTGTGAGGAGTTTCGCCAGCGAGAGCGAAACCGAAAACGCGAACTTCCTTGTGCAAAAAGGACAGACTTTCCCGCAACGAGAGTGCGCATTGTTTCTTTCGTTCTCCGTACGACTGCAATAAAAGGTAAGCTGGCCAGCTTAATTTCGCGGTCGCGATATAATTGCTACGCGACTAATACCTCGATTCGACAAAAAGCGCGCATGTAACATCTCGGCAAACAAAAAGCGGCGAGCGATCCGACACTGCATGTTGTTGTTGTGCGCGCGGTATGTAAACATAAACAAGCGGGCCGAATTTGATGTAATATTGAGAGATAATAAAAGTTCTCGTATGTGATGTTAACAGTACTTTCGAAGTGTTCTTCTCGTATTTGTAGTTAGTTGGTTGACTGACACCCGTTCCCTCTTGCTTTCCGACTTTCATATTTAACATAGGTAATTACGTGCGCTTTTCAATACGATTACGCGGATAAAATTAATTAAACGGTACCCACCCCGTTACATATTATATATTTATATATAATATGAGATGTCAAGGATAACAACCATTTATTATTTCATCGTCGTTTTGTCAGTAAAAAACAGATTTCCAGTTTACGAATGTCGCACTTCACGGTACATATGCACTGATCGAGCTGATGTTTTTAGGTTGAGATTAGAGAGTTTAGTATGCTCGCTGACGAATGCACGTCGCTTACCGTACGTCACTTCGAGGAAAAAAATCTTATAGAATCCCACCCCTGTGCAAGATCAAGCCTATTTATACACAGATCTTGATGAGTTATTTACGCTGGATAGCCCGTTTTACGCTCTTTTCGCAAATGTGCAAAACTATTTTCTCTTATTTACAATAATAACAATAACGCTAAAAAAATATTTAGTCTAAAAAATACAGAGTGTAATATAGTTAATTTAGGCATAATTCGAAATTATCGCAAAAATCGTAGTTAACAGTTATTAACCAACAAATTTAACTAATTTAATAACGCAAAACTTACAATAAAATAATTGAAATTATTTACATAGAAAGATAATTTACCGCTTGTAAAAGTAATTGTAAATAAGAAATACTTAAATTGTTTAATAATATTTGAATAATAATTATTTTTCGGGTTTGGCCAAATTTTATAATGTAAATATAAAATCGATAAGTTTATAATAATCAGTTCTAACAATTTTGTCAATATGTACAGAATTAATGCTTTCGACTCATATTATTTTATTTGTTTGAATAAATTATTAATTTTTTATTTATTGATAACAATCGTAATTAAGTTGCTATCAATGAAACGAATTCTTACTCATGTTCTTAAGAATGTTATCTCGTGCTCAGAGTATCCACTTTATTACAATAATTAATATTCGCAAAATTATAAATAAATGAAGCTTACACATTAAAATTCATTAAATATTTGAAAAAATGATAATTGTAATCTAAGCACCAAAATTAACACAAAAAATACTTTAGATCATTGAAATTACTATCATTAATGCATTTTAATTGAACAATAAAAATTGGCATATCTATATCTACGTATAAGTAGAGTGACATCACGCTCCTTATATGGTGATGAAATTTAATTCTTGCCCTAATATAATCATATAATATGTGAGGTGTCGTTCTCTATACTAATCAATAGGCATAGATTCATAAGTTTGACGGGTTGCCGTGATATAGTGAAAAACCGAGAAAATGGTTAAGGAGCTCCTAGATAGAACTGTTACACTATGTTGGCATTGAATAACTGAACTTATACCCATCGCAGTGTTTTCCGCAATCTTCATGAATTGGGATTGGTTTTGTTTTACTTTATTAGATTTTTTTTCTCTCTTTATTTTTTGTAATGCATATCTTTTCTTATTTTTATATATTTTTACTTTTGTTATTCTCTTTTCATGTTAGAACAACACTGCGTTGATGCATATTCTCTAGTCTGAAGAAAGAGTATTTTGTACTTTGCAATTGCAATATGAATTCTTCTATAAACCAACATAAAGTAATCTTGAACTGACATTTTTAATATTTTTACTATCATGCTTTATATAATTGTAAAAGATCAATGTATTTTGTTTCATTTAAATACAATTTTCAAAACAAATTCTATTCGTAGTAACATTGAGATGTACATTCTGAGTAATAAGCGGAGATTATCACATAAATTATTTGCTTGTTGTCACTTTCTACATCATTGTTAAACAAACTGCTACCCCAAGGTTGTAGATAAATTATGACTGCATGCTAAAATCGTACGAAATTCACTCTCTTTGGCTCGACGGTTTGGGCTATAATTGACAGATATCAATTAGTTTAATCAATTCAAGGAGGAAAATTGCAAACATATTAAATTTATTCACATAAATGTTTTATTCACATTTTGATTAATTACAATTATTGGAAAATATTGGTACATAATATTGAAGGTATCACCTTGAAATAAATAAAGTAGTAAAAAATGAAACCGTATAAAAATCGTCTGATATTATTTTTCAAGAAGTTGTGCGTAAATTCGAAAGAAATATGAATTGTAACGGGGTATTTCGTTCGGCGTGCTAACAGAAATCTAATCCGGTAAAGAAAGGATGTTCCCAGCGTCGCGAGGCTAGCCGCCGCCTCGATCAGCTCGTTCGGACAGCCTCGATCTTCTGACCTTCCGCCCCAGAGCCCGTGAAAACCCACACGTGGAGAACACGTGCGGCGATCCGGGTTGCCCAGTGACTCAAGGTCGGGCAGGTTCTGTCGCGGGCGTCAGGAGAGGAAAACCAAATGGAATTCGAAAGAAAAACTCTCAGCCAATTGTCGCAAGATCTGCAGTTTTATTCCTTCTTGTCGCGTTCAATCGTATAATGGTAACGCTATGGCCGAGAGGTTTCGCCGGGTATCTCGCGCTCGCGATGAGAGAGAGAAAGACGCGCACTATCTAGCTTCGCTTTCTGGTTGCTCGCATTTATATTTAATGTCGGGGACTTACGCTACGGGAACGAGTCGCTGCTGATAAGGTATCCTCGACGGTGTCCACGGGTCGCGTCGGTTTCGGTCCCTTCCTCGCAATACACCTTTCAGTCAAGGTTTTCCCTGCCCGAGTTCGCAGTTGCCCGCAATCCTCGACTGTTGCCTCAGATCGCTCTGGGCAACTGACAGTAATGGGCAGCGAATGATCTTTCCCTGAGCCGTGATTCCCAGCGATCTTGGAACTACCAGGTCTTCGTGTGATATCGGTCGAGAAGCTCCTTAAATTCCCAATGCAATCACTCGTCACTCGTGTTTTTCTTGCCCGCAGGTCCGGACTCGACTACTCACATGCATTCCTCCTTCGCGCCTCGCGGACGCCGGCCGGCGGCCTAATCGCTCTCATTCCCCTTCCCCTTTTTCCTACTGTCACATGCTATGCGCGCCTAACACGCGCTGGCCGGTGCCCTAATCTCTCTCCTCTCTCCCGCTTTTTCGTTCGTTCGCCTCGCGGGCGCTTTCCGCTTCTACTTCTCTGATTTGTTCTCGCGGGTCGGCTTTTGCGTCGCCCCACGCGATGGAAGCGCTTAGACTCTACCTTTAACGAGCGACACTCTTTACAGAATATGAGAAAATTCGATTTAATTATTGAATAATATTTCTATATTTTGATACTTCGAGTAAATAACAATATTTTAATACTGCTTTTAAATTTTATAATTTATTATTATTCTCTTATCTAAGTATCGAAGTACTAATTTGCTCTAATAGTTTGCTGTAATGTGACATTTGATTAATTTGACAAAAAGTTTAAATTGACAAAAAAATTTTTATTTCCAGGGGCTCTTTTGAGGCAACTAAACAAGCTCATATCTTGATATCAGCATTAATAAAAAATCCTGATATCGATATAATTCAGCTTCTATCAAAATCAAAGCTATCTTGTAGTATAAATACAATTTTTGTGGAAAAACCTAATTCTTCAATAACGGTAAGATCTATATTTTTATAGAAAATTTTCAAATAAAACTATCATTAAACAATATTATTTGTATTTGTCTACCCGCCTTTCAAAATATATGAAAAGAAGCTAGCAATCCTGTTACAGTTTCAAATAATTAAGTGCAGCTGATTGAAAAATGAAAAAAATAAAAGGTAAAATGTCATACCCAAAAAAATTATCTTCTTACAATCAGTATTGAAGAAGAAATACTCCGAATCAGTCTCGGTCTTAACCTAGCACTTAAATTCGAAGTTAATGGCAAGATTGTTATATGTAAATTCACTAGTATGCTTTTGCTGTTGTAGTAATAGTTATGAGAAGTTTTATGCACTGTCTTTGTCACTCCACTCGATAACTCTCTGTGAAAATGTTAATTCACATGTAAAAGCTAACCAAGTCGTCAAATCAACGTCTTTAATAATTTTTTTCTCGAAACTTAAGATTATTAAAGATTATTCGGACTTGGACCATGGGGACTTTTATTCAAGACATTTAAATCTATAATATATATTGTTTTAAAAAAAATGCACAGAGATTCACGTGTTCATTTGATTTATAAGAGATTGTTTGTATAAATATGTATGAACACAAATCATGCACTCTTCCGTTCTAATATCTGTAGATGAATCTACATAAAATCTATAGAGGATTCATTACCATGTTATTTTTTGATTCCCCAAATTCTCCTAAATATATTTATATCTGGGATTGTATGAAAAATTAATATATTATACGAGGTCTGTCCAAAGAGTATCCGACCTACTTCGATTTCTCGGTGCTTGATTTAATCTTCGTCTTGTGGGGAGTGGCATCCTTCAAAGTAGTCCCCATTTGATTAAATAAGATGCTCATATCGATGTTTCCACTTATTAAAGAATTCTTGAAATTCAGACATCAGAATCGCTTTTAGTGCATTTTCGCATTAGTTTCAATTCTCCTTATTGTCAAATCGATGTCCCTTAAATGGCATTTTCAATTGAGGAAACAGCCAAAAATTGCAGGGAGCGATATCGGGACTATATGGAGACTGGCGAATCTGCTTAACACTGTGTTTTAATAACTATTGCTACACAAGGTTTGATGCGTGCGCTGGAGCATTGTCGTAATGAAGAAGCCAGTCAACGGTTTCCCAAAGATGCGGTCGTTTTCTTCTGTTGCATCACGCTATCTTTTCAAAACTTAATCATAGTACCGTTTGTTGATTGTCTGGCCCGTAGGAGCGTATTCGTCGTATACAATGCTTTTATAATCGAAAAAACAGACCAGAACAAGGATCACTGTCAATGGATATGCGGACACTTTAGAACCGCCTATACCACTCTTTTATTTGTATTTTGCCCTTACACTCATCTTTAAAGGTCTTTTGCAATATTGCAATAGTTTCCGTAAAACTTTTACCGAAATTACAGCCAAATTTTATGCAAATTCGCTGCTCGGTTCGTTAGACCATTTTTAGCAATAAACGAATTGCGCCGAACGTTAAATTGTCGTTGTAGAGTAAAACAACTTAATAAACCTTTTGATGCATCTAGACTCACTTTTAGCTCATGAGAGTAGGGTGTCTCATGAGTTGGACATCTAAATCCGTGGCAGGAGTAGGTTAGGCAGTCATAAGGCAAATGATATGTCTAGACCAGAAAAATCATGTATGATGCTGACTTTATTGATCATATCAGATGCTCAAATTGTAACCAGATTAGCTTATTGCACCTCTGACATACAACTTAAGCAAATATATTATTATAAGTACATTTTCTCACATTTGGGAGAGCCAATGCCCTCTATTGGTCGCACTTAGAACTACTACAAATTAAGGTTTTAGTTTTTTCAGCATACATATAAAGTTTGGTAAAAAATTCTACATGAGTAGTGGTTGACGCGCTCTATTGGTTAAAATTATAACTACTACCGTTTGAGATTTAGACTTTTTGAGTATATATATAAATTTTGATATGGCATTTTAATATGGATTGAGGTTGACGCCCTCTCTTGGTTACACTTATAACTATTTTATGTAACGTTTTGGGCCGCTACAACTGTTTATCTTTAATAGGTATCTTTGTAACAGAAAATATTCTGTATACTTTTTTAGTTGAGAAATGATTGCATCCGAAACTGAATTAATAATCTGAAATAAAATTTCTGTTCAGTATTATTGTGTTGATTCTGACTAGGATTCAATTTTCAGAAATTTTTTAATGTATTGGTAAAAGGTCGTTCTCTATGAAGTTACCTATTTAGATTTTTTAGCAGGTTCAGGTATTAACCCTTTCAGGGGCACTTTTTTCTGCTGCACTTATCTCGAATTAGAAAGTGTATATAAAGGTTTTCGGGGTCACTGATTACAAATCTGAAGTCTGATTTTCAAAATTTTAAATGGCGGATTCGTAATGAGCAAGACCATAAATACTCTTATACGATCTTTCAAGTGAAATACTCAGAAAACCGCAATTCTAACATAAAATAGCTGACATATTGGGTCCACCATTTTGATGTTTTTAAATTCTGATACTGGATTGGTGATCACCGCCTTTAAAAGCCCTTTTATACAAATTTTCATATAATTATCTTGAAAACTCTGTCCAAGACCGAATTTATTCGAAAAAACTCAAAATCATTCGTCTTTAATTGTTTATAAATAATTGAATAAATAAATTTTCAATTGTTAATCAAATCATTACGAACCCTGAGTACTAATGATGGTATAGAAATTTATTCGAGAGCGATTGAGTTCAAAACGGTCGCGGTATGGATAAAAAACTGAAAAAATTTAGTTGTATCATACAAGGTCTGTCCGGAAAGTATCGGGCCTACGTTTATATCTTCGCGCCATAGTATTCGAGCGACCTCTACCGGACAGAAACGTCAACAGTAAAGCCTCACGAATCTATTGGTTACTTACTGACACCTGCCGGACGTATAGTTCATGCGCAGCGTGTCTTTTTTTACAGTGCCTTTTTCGCGTTCGTCGGATTTTGATATTGTCAAAAATGACTGAAAAACAAGATCAACGATTTTGCATCAAATTTTGCTCTCAACTCGGAAAAACGCGTTCAGAAACGCGTTTCTATTGAAATGATGCAAAAGGCGTTCGGAAGCGAGTGTATGAGCAAAACACGAATAAAAGAGTGGTATAAACGGTTCAAGGATGGTCGCACTTCTGTCGATAGCGATTCTCGTCCCGGCCGACCTTCGACGACAAAAACCGCAGATAATATTGAGCGGGTGCGACTTGCAATTAAACAAGATCGTCGTATGACTGTGCGAGAACTAGAAGAAGACCTTGGGATACCAAAAACTATCATTTCAGAAATTTGAACCGATTAATTTTAGGAATGAAACGCGTGTGTGTGAAATTCATCCCAAGATTGCTCACAGCAGAGCAGAAGAAAATTCGTTTAGAAATCGCTCTGGACAATCTGGAAATGGTCAATAATGATGATAATGTGCTTAGAAAAGTTATTACAGGTGATGAATCATGGGTTTATGGTTATGATCCTGAAACAAAACAATAATCTTCACAGTGGAAGCATTCTGAATCGCCAAGACCAAAAAAAGCACGTCAAAGTCTGAGCAATGTTAAGTCAATGTTGATTGTTTTTTTCGATTGTGAAGGTGTTGTACATCACGAATATGCATCAACAGGTCAGACAATCAATAAAGAATACTACGTTCTAATTTTGGAACTTTTGCGTGATGCAGTAAGAAGAAAACGGCCGCACTTTTGGGAAAGTGGTGACTGGCTTCTCCATCACGATAATGCGCCAGCGCATTCATCCAATCTTGTGCAGCAGTTTTTGAGCAAAGACAATATCGCATTGCTTCGACAACCTCCATACATTCCCGACATAGCCCCTTGTGACTTTTGGCTGTTTCCAAAATTAAAAAAACCACTCAAAGGACACCGATTCGATGACAAAACAACGGTTAAAAACAATGCGACTAGTGTACTTAAGGCTATCCCTAAAAGTGAGTTCCAAGACTGTTTTGAAAAGTGGAAACATCGATGGAACCGTGTTATTCAATCAAGTGGGGATTACTTTGAAGGATGCCACCCACCAGATGAATAACGCTAGCACGGAAATATAAAGGTAGGCCCGATACTTTCCGGACAGACCTCGTATATGATACGCTGCCCCTGAAAGGGTTTAAATAATGCTAATTTTCACTGACTTCTGAGTGGGAAAATAATACAGACGAAAGTATGAATGGAAAATAATTGTTATATATCTTATTTTATTGGAAGAAATATTTAATGATCATTTTGCCTGTAATATTATATCTGGGGATGGGTGTAGTCAATATTACGAATTGTTTATAATAATTCTGTTCACGTATGCAGTTTTCCCGGGCGGTTTCCTTCGTCATGAGATTTTATCGATATTGATGATCACATTCGCAATGTTGTAACGGGCTGATTATTTCGCGATTTAAATTTTGATAATTTTGCCTTGTAGAGCAGTCCAAATAGCCTGGGGCGACTCTCCGCATTCCACATTGCACTAGCACCATAACTTAGAAAATTATTGCTATTCCGCTATTAATTTCTATTTGTTCATATGCTCTAATACGATGAGCACCAACATTACTAATATTTAATTTAGATCAATTATGCCGACTATTCCTCCTAATCTCATGACTTTTCAGCCAACAGCTAAAATCTCATCCTGCAGAAACGAATTAAGTATGAAAGTCTCCGGCAATACTGCGAATGGCGGAAGAAAGAACCAATATATATATGTTGTAATGCGGTACATTACAAGGCTTTGCCTAAGAGTGTTGCATTATTTGCAACACCTCAGGAAAGCCATCCTCGTCTCTTGCCGCCCCGTAACCAGTCGTATAACGCAAACCCAGACGCGCCCTAACACAAACACTCATCTCTTTTTATGTCCGAACAACAACACCGGAGAAATTAGCGAAGCAAGCCATATGAACGCGATCCGACGGGCACTCAAAAATGGAGCGTACTACAAAATAAGAGAGCA